ACCCTTGATCAAATGATGAAATATCCTTCAAAATGAGAATGTTGACCAAAAATCTTGAAGTTTAACTGTATGTAGGCCACAATTGACTTTTGTCCTAGCACAATCGATTTTCAGGCCTTTGAGCAATTGATTGAGCAAACTTCCTCTGCATGGATTGAAACTTGACATAGATGATCTTGATAACATATTAAGACATTGGTGAGAATTTGGGATCCCTTGGACTCAAGTATCTTGATGCAACATGAAACCCTAATTTGAGGTAGACTGCCTTAGGAGAGAGCTTGTCTGGCCAACCTTTGGACTTCCTCGAGCAACTTGAGGATCTTTCTTGAAATGTTTTGAGAAATATGGGAGGGCAAATTTTGGGGTACAACAGTCCTCAAAACAAAACCCGAGTTTCGGTCCACGCCCGGTATTCACCTGGCCATTTGTTCGGTTTCCCCACACTGGGGAACAGACAAAACAAACGAGCAAGCCCCTATTATAAACCCTTAGTAAAATAAAATATGTCTCAAAGCAGACAAGCATAAACAACAAACATGCAAATACAAACTAAATATTTAGAACAAATGACCAACGAGGCCTCCATTGCACAAATTTTACAAAAAGAGACGCCCCTGGTCCCCATCCAACAAAATAATTTTGTGGCCACAAAAATGACAGTTGTTCAAGAATTACATAAATGGGCAAAAGCCCAGAAAAAAGATTACAAAATCACGACATGAAGGTCGGAGCATATTGAGAAAACTATCAAAGCATCACTCTTCAGTTCCTTCCTCGACAACAAGCGATAACTGAGAAGGTTCCCCCACAGGATGGGTATCGAGCTCTTCGAGGTAGTCTGGGACCAAGATCTTTCCGGCAGCCACATAATAAATAACCCCCATTCCAGAGGTATTAAGCTCTACCCCAGGATTCAACACACGGAGCTGCTTCATCGTGTTCTCGAAACTCCCCTCAGAGGCGGTCTGGGCGTCATCCATCGCCAGTTGGAAACGAGCGACCAGCTCGGCCTGAGTCTTCAAATACTTTGTGTTTTCCGGCTCGTCTTCAACAGGTACAACCTCGGCAGTCAGGATCACCACCCTCTCCTCTAGAGCCTTCTTTTAGAGCAACCAGACTCTGCGCTCCTCAGAAAGCTTCCCCAAGTCCTCCTCGACCAACTTCCGAGCCTTCTCCTCATCACTTTGCCTCTTCTCATCCGCGACCAGTTTGGCCCGTAGCTTATTCATCTCAGCCTCTTGAGAAGAACTCCCCTTTGTGTAAGCGACCGCCATCTCCAGTATCCTCATCGCCTTCGAGTACACTGGAGCAGGAGAGAGGGTGACAACAGCTTAACCGGAGGACGAATTGCCCGATCCTGACGTGGGAGTAGTCCCCGAACCGGTTTGGGCATCTCTCAACGCTTTCTTTGCTTTCGCGGAAATGTTCTTGGTTATACGTTCCTGAGTAAGGATTCATGATATCTGCAAAATAAACAGAAAATCAGAGTTAGCGAGTGAGGACTTAAAGACGTCAACCATGTACAATTATTGAAAACATAAAACTAAATACCCAAGTATTTGACAGGATCCTCGCTCTCGAGAAGCTCCTTAACGACTATCAGACCAGACTCATACACGATCTCCCCGTTCTTGTATGTGACCGACTTTCCTTCTTGGCTCGCGCACTGGACGCGAGGAATCCTCTCAACAATAGTGGTCAAAATGGCGAGGCTCGTCTGATCCTCGACACTAAGCCCCCCTCCTTCCAAACGTAGGAACCCAACTTATTATAGAAATGCTTCCTCGTCTACTAAAAAGGAAACTTGTAGACCAACTTATTCAAGTGCTCCCACAGCTCGTTCAGGACGGAGGCCCCATTCACATCATATTCTGGAATGGCCCAGAAAACGTTCAGCATCTCCCTGGTCGAAAGAGGCTGCACGAGAATATACTTGTCCTTGAAGTGCCCAACAGACTCCAGGTAAGCTTTGCACAACTTTCTGTTGCCCTACTTCAAGGTGACCCATCCTAATTTACCGTCAACCTTGCTCCTCTAGAGATGGAAACAGTAGAAGAACAAAGGATCCCATTCAGATGAAACTGAGAAGGAGCCAGCTGAAGATGCCGAAAAACGGCCACCTGAAAATCCGAGAAGGGGAGTCGAAGGCTTATCTCCCAGAACACAATGTTATACATAGGAATCCGCCGCTTATCATACTTAGAGCAGATACGAATATCTTTTCTAGGGATCCAAAGCGACCACTCTGCCCGACCTCCATCATCGTACGCGTACACTTCGGTGAAAACCTCATCGCAATGCTCAAAGAAATAGGAAATCCAATCCCATTGGTCTTCCGCAACCCAGGTCCGTCCCTAGATACCTCCAGGATGCTCGACGTACTGCAAGTGTCATCCGTGGAGCTCTAGGAAGATCCAGTCCGTCCATCTGAAAGATCGTCTCCAACATTGTCGGTCATAGTACCTAAAAATCAGAGGATAGATGTGAGTTCGATATCAATGCCAAAACCATCATTCCACCACTAATAAAGTGAAAGAGCGTTAATAAACGAGGACCACGTTCCCGACTAGAACCCTCACTAAGGTATCTGAACAAACAAACGATTTTCTCAACGAAACAAACTCAAGTCAACAAAAATGACCTAAAACCTCAAGGATCACCTACGGTGCATCGCGAAAATCCGAGGAAAATCCACAGCAGTTCCGACATTTTTAAACTACAAAACCACCATCCGCTACCAACACTCCCCTAAAAATTCCCTAACAAACAAGACCCTAAGCCTAACTGCATGCATTTCTAAGGCAAAAATCGTAAAAATCTAAGCTACGACAGCCAAATAACCATGAAAACATGAAATCTTACCAGTTAAAGAAGAAAGGAAGTTGAAAGGAACGGTGGCGAACAGTTAATCTTCAAGAAACAGCGGCGGTCGACAGGCGAGCAGTAACGAGCAATGTGAGTGAAGAACGAAAAGTACAGAATGCCCTACTCCTCTCGTATATATAGCTGAAATTGCCCGCACGTAAGGAACACACACCTAGGGAACCATATGATCGTCATCATTGTGCCCTAATCCCTAGACCATTATTGCGCCGCTTCGTCAGCGCACTACCCGAAACACGCTACCTCTTCAATTTTCGAAGCTCAAAATGACCAACTCATCATCTCTCCGCGAGAAAGGCGTAACGGGCGACGCTCATGCTCCCTGCAAGAAGCGCCCCATCCCACGAGTAGGTGTTAAAGTTATCACTCCTGTGCCTAGAAGAAACGACTTGGGAGGCTACTGTTCTGGACTGACCCAACCGCTAGAGTGAGTCTGACTTAACCTAACCTATTTTTAGAGACATTTGTGTTCTTATATTATAGATTGATTAGACCAAACAAATTACTAATAAGACTTCGTGAACTAATATGTGTATCAGACAATTTCTCTTCAAGACTTTCGAGTGTTTATATGAACTAAACAACTTATCTTCAAAACTTTTGTCAATACGGAAAAAAAAACTTACTAATTCTCTCTATTTTCAATATAAAACCAAATGTCTTTAAAACAAAATGAGATAACAACAAAACAATTTCAAACATCAACTATTTATAGAAGAGTAAAATAATCAATTAATGTAAATTGCACTGATAGAGAATAATTATTCTACAGAGTAAAATTATATAGACAAAAAAAATAAAAAAAATATTTTTCTTTGAGAAAAAAAGAAAGGTTATTACCAATTTTTCTTTGAGAAAAAAAGAAAGGTTATTATCATTTTTGCTCCCTGTTATATAAGTTATTTTTTGTTTATCTTATAATTTTTTTTTTAAAAGTAATCTTGTCATTTCAAAATACTAACATTTTATTTTCTAAAGTCAAAATCCACATATTTTTTACGAATTTTCTTTCGAATTTAATTGTAGACTTTAATTTTAGCGATTAAATTATTAATTTTTTAAAATAGTGATTTGTTTTTGAAAAAAAAATTATGCAATAAACTAGAAATAATCTATATGACAGAAATAAAATGATAATAATCTTTAAAAAAAAAGGATATAGACAAGGGTGTAAAATAATTTTATATAATTAACTAATCAATATAAAATTAGTGTAGTATCTTTAATCTCTTATTCTTTTTGAGAATAAAATGTTTCTATTAGTATTTGATAACAAAAGCATTCTTCTGGCCGCATTAACAAGTAACGTCGGCGGAAGGTACAAAAAAGTCCAAAGTGAAAAGAAATATCCAGCTAACAAAGTTTGAAAGAATTTGGACAAAGATGGAGACACAACACCAACAACACCACCACCTACCAACATACGATCCTCTCTCCCACGTTTCACGGAAGGAACTCTCTCGTATCAGATCAGCCCAGCAAGCAGTTCATCTTATTCCTCTCCTCGTTCTTCTCTGCGCTATCATCCTCTGGTTCTTCTCTTCCCCTCACAACAACCACTAACTTGCATCTCAAAGGTTCTCTATTATATCCTTCAAACCATGTTCTACTATAGATTTTCTTATATGTTTCTTCTTCCAGAATCACTTTTTAGTTTTTGTTGTATTCTGATTTCGTTGATTTTTTCTATATCAGAATTAAAACTCATATTTCTACTCTATTATTTATCTATTACTTTCTATGCTTCTGCTATTACTGCTTCATTTTTTTCATAAGTTTATTATGACTGCTTCGTAGCTACTAAGTGATAGAATATAGATTGAAACTTGAATTTTTACCTTCGAAATGTCATGGTGTAAACATAGTTGGGGCGCGGAGCCAAACAGACAAGCAAAACAAATTCACTTAGATACTCGAATTATACAACCATATTGGAATGCATGAATTACTTGTTGGATGGAGAACTAAACAAGTGTTTATATGCTGTAATGAATAATGAACACGCTATTTCTTTTTACATTGATTGTATAGAGTGTATATATTCAGGGGGAATAGTGAAATAGATTGTGATGAAATGAAATCCCTTAATTCTTGTGTAGTCTTGACTTTCATCTTTATAGATTCTCACTAGTAAAATTTGTGTGTTCTAGCAAAGGACCAAGCCTTACTAGCTTTGGTATGACAATATTGTTTCTAACGGAACACACAACCGGATTATCCCACTGCAAAGCAGAGCCCACAAGGTTTGCTCGTATGGTTAGTGGAAATATGCGCGGCCATCTTTCGCTGCCATATGATTTAAAAGCTTCTTCGACTGAAGTATCATTGGAGTTTATGGCTCGTGCAAGTTTTTTAGCAAGAACCACTGAATCCTCGAGTGCACAACAAGCTCCTTGTCCTAGATTAGGAGTCATTGGATGCCAAGCGTCTCCAACAAGCACAACTTTTCCTGCAGAAACAGGTGGACTTATCGCTGGCCAAAGCCATCGATCCACCAACGGAGTCCTTATTATGGTGTCATCTGGCGTAGAATCCATTATGTTTAATAACTCCTGAGGCCAGTTTTCCACTAGTTCCTTAGCTTGCTTCTTTAGCACCGTTGAATCAGTTATTTTAGGACCTGTCATTGAACTCAACTATTTTTCATATGAACAATAACTTAAGTAGCTTGAACCATGTATGAATTTACTAGTAAGAATAAGAACCTGGAGATGAACTGTTGAAGCAGATGAACCAATACACTTTGGTAGAAGAAACAGGAACATATCCCGCACGCAACCCTTTTCCATAGATGTAATTCACTCGCGATTCCAAAGGTTGTCCACCCGAGTACGAGGCAAGTCCACGGAAAGCACAATGACCAACAAACTTTGGCTCAGAAAATCCCATCCACTTAGCTATAGGTGATCGAATTCCGTCACACCCTATTACAATCTGTTTGGACACAGAATTATTTTGTTAACATTTTTCAGAACCAGAACTTCAGAATTGGCCATTAAGTTTGTAAGATCCTCTTGTGCATTATGTTTTCAGAGTCATAACCAATTACACAGTTAGCTTAATACATCACAATGACTGACCTGTGCAAGTAGTTTAGACCCATCTATGAATTCCAATAAGGTATCCCCATTTGAACTTGCTTCAATCTTGACCAACCGCGATGAATATTGAATGGTATCATGAGGTAGCTGAGAGGCCAAGGTTTCCAAAAGTACCCTCCTTTCCACGGCACGAACCTCTTGGCTGCACAACAATAGTCCTTACACATTTCATAAATATTCTACCAACAACAAAACATCGAAACATGTATTGGTATCGTCTTAGTATCACATTGTTGCGACAACAAACACATTTTCAATATTCATGTATACAATACAATTATACCTTTCATCCTCTTGTTTGAAGTTGAAGGAGCGCAATTCTCTTCCATCCTCAGACTTCACCACCATCCTGTAAAGCTGAATTTATGAACCAGCACAAACTCAGCTGATATATGCATTTAGCAACGATGCAAGTGATAAAAGTGATAAAACAAACAATGAATTAACGTACCCTTGAATTTCTAAATATTGAGTTCTGAGATGATTAGCTACTCCAATTGAATCAAGCACACTCCAGCCATTCTTGAAAAGAGTGAGCGAAGTTCCACCAGTTCGAAGCGACTCTGACTGTTCCAGCACCAGAGACCGAACACCAAGCCTGTTAAGAGCATCATGCATCATGATTCAGAGTGATGATAATGGTGGATAAAGAAGAGAGAACGGGGAGCTATAGAGTTGAAACCTGTGAAGGGATAGAGCAGTTGCAAGACCTGCGATCCCACCACCCACAATGACAACATGTTCCTTTCGGACATCAGAAGATTGAGCTTTGATGAATTTGGAACTTGTGAAGGATCCAATTCTGGTACGACAAGGTGACGAGGTAGGAGGTTTATGAAACATAAAAGACGAGGTAGTAGCAGCCATAGGATACGTCGAATTCAGTTTGTGTTAGGTAGGTAGTAGTATGTATCTACCGTTGAGTGGTGGAGTGGAGAGATTGTGTGCTGTGTTCAGTTTTGGGCCATATAACCATATAAACTAGTGGTTGAAAAACCTTCTTTTACTTAAAAACTAGTGGACACCTTTGCGTTTAACCGATCATGGCTTGTTATGCACACTTTTATTTTTGAATTGCAATAAAAATAAAATGATAGAAAGAGAAATTATTTAACTAAAAAAATTATTATTTTTAAAAATGATAATAAATCAGTGTCCTTAATTTTTTATGTATATAAAAATATTTGAATAAACAATAAAGTTTTTGCAATAATAATTGAATAAATAGTAAATTTGTTTTCGTTATTATTTAATATTTAATCAATAATTTTTTTTCTTGTTTCATATCATTTTTATATTAGAAAAAAAACAAAATTTATTAAAATTTTAAATAAGTATAATTTTCATAATTAATTATTAAAATTTAGTTTGAAATTTTAAATGTTTATATTGAATAAAAACAATTGTTTAAATTTGGTATTTAAAAAAAATTAATTTATGACTTATGATATGGTCAAAATTTATTTTCTATTATTAATCATCATCAAAAAATATTAATAACAATAAAAATTTGAAATTGACAAATAAAAATCATATATTAAATCATTAAAATAATTGAATTAACTATACATATTTTTCTGGATATAAGTTATACACATAATTAGTATATTTAGATTGACAAACTCATATTTTTAAAGAGAATTACTTATGGCACCTTAAATAGGGGGAAAATTCTATGAATAATCAAAAATGTTTTTCAGAAATGTATTTTCGGGGCGTACTGTTTTTTTGAAAAATTATGTTTGAAATCGGAAATGCAACTACGGTTAAGTATCTGATATGTATTTCTGGTTCCTGTATAGACAATTCAGACCATATTATCATGTAGGTTTTAGTGCATTTACAAAATATGTAGTACAATACGATTTCAATTAAATATAAAGTAATAACAAAATACGCACAAATACTCATAAATATTATGTTCCAAAATACGATACGCAAAATATTCCTCAAAGTGTTATCCAAATTTTCTAAAATATGAAAAACATAATAGTACTATAAACAAAATGCATCTGAAACTATCAGACTACTGAGTATGACGGATACTGAGTCGGTCCGTGATATTAACGACATTCTTCCGCTGCTGTTTGTAGCACAAAGCCTCCTCAGCCTCCGCCATGATGACATCTTGAACACCTCTAACATCAAAGCCATCAGGAAACAGACCTCTATCATTATCCACCTGCACAATCTCCATGATACGACGACACTTAAACAACACATCATGAGCATGATCGGTCCTAGTCTGCTTCTCCTCTAGAAGCTCCACATGTGCTGGTCTAGGTGGATTACCTGGAGCCTCTTGTACCAGATATGGATTTGACACCTTAAAGAACTATAAGATATATTCATCCTCATAGCTCCAATCTTTTGGTGCTATGGTAAGACCTGCAACTTAATAGGTTCGTCAATGGCGAAGCTGACGTCCAATGAGGACAAAAAAAAAAAGCATTGATCGTCAAAAAGAAATGGCTAATACTTCCGTATTGACTTCAAACATTGCAAGAACTAAAAAAACTACATTTTACTATCCTAAAACATAATTTATATGTAAAATAAATAAAAAAAACTCAATAATGCTCAAAAACAACTTATAATGATTGATTCTCCTGTGTTGATTTTGATTATCAATGATGATTTCCTTATGTGTTGCGATAAATTGATGGATTCTGAAATAATAAGTATTTTGGAACAATAAAGTTTTGGGAGGTTTTGTGTTTTGTGTGTGTTTGCAGCAAATGAGGAAGTGGAAGGGGTAGCGCATATATATATATCAAAATACAAATCGGAAACACACTTACGATATGAAACCGGTGTTACATTTTTGGTTCGTATCAACTTGGTAGGATGTGGCTTCTCACAGTGTAACTATTTAGTTTATTTAAAGTATAATCGGAAATACAATATCGCTTTGGAAACCATAAATGTAATTCCAGTTTGTATGTTTTTTTTCATGTGATAGGGTGTACAACGGAAATACATTTCCGATTTCTAAAAACATATTTGAAAATTCACGCTGGTGTCTAAAAAACATTTAGGATGCACTAGAAAAATCTCTTTCTAAAAGTCACCAACAAAGTTGGTTCATGTCATCATGGTTACGTTGTGTTTAGTAATGCACACAGTTTCACTGTACACAATTCAAATCCAACTAAATGATGATGATGTTAGAGTTAATTGTGATTGTTTTCTCTCTATCTCTAACTTGTATATTATATGGGCGATGAGAATCTTCCATAGGAATGTAAAATTTGAAGCTTAAACCACTGCCTCAAAATATAATTTATAAGTAAAAAGCATTGGAAACAATATGAAAAGGTTTTTATTGGGCATATTAATCTTGAATGGGCACGGGATCCAAGTTTTTTCAAGAATGCAATCTTGAACTAATGACTCGTTCTCAGTTTCAAGTTTCCTAATTGTCTAAAACATATGAAACGTAGAAACAAGAATAGCCAAAGCATGATCATGTTAAATTGATCTTGCAACCTATTGGCTTGCTTATCAATCACACATAGTGGAAATCATTTATTTTCTAAATTCATATGAACCACATAGAAGTAAGCATCTTGTTATCTAAAATAAATCAGGTATCATATTTGCATGCATACAGAGGAAATAAACATACTCTTTTTCTGCATTTCAAATTCTACCTTTTGTTTTGATGTGCTTTTATTTTATCAGCTAATTTAGAACATAAAAGAAAAAACTAAAGCATATAACTAAGCATAGTGGCATAGATATGTCAAGTAGAATGTAATGAAACTCAAACAAAGATACTATAGAATATGAAGCTTCACAAATATAAGCTATTTCTACATAGACAATGGCAATTGTTTAATCAAGCTTCACAAATAAAGTCCCTCAGAAACACCACAGGTTTTCTTGAGAATTTGTTCTTCTTCCCTATTATTATTTTTCATTACTCAATTTCAGCAAAACGTAATGTATGTTCTGAACCTCAAAATACAATCGTCCTATCTCTTCAGAGCCTTTTCGCGCCTGCTCCATCACTGTTTTCTTTTGGTTTTGTTTACTCTTTTCCAACTCCGTCGAAGTCTCCCTGCTTGAAGATGGAACACTCTCTTTGATCTCCTTTGTAAGTCTTATTGTGTTAGATATTACTTTTACTTTGTTAATTGTATTGTATTTTTCTATGTAACTTTGACTCGATTGCATGTCACCAATCAAAAACAATGAAAAGCAGTCAATATTTTCAAAAGGAGAACATATACCTTATGTTTTACTGGCAAGGAGCGGAATTGTTGCTTCAGTGTTTCCATGGTAGAATATTTGATTGATGCTTCCATCTAAAGTAAACATAAAATTTTGAAAAACCTGTGTATATATCAGATTTAACTTGTTGCTCACATAACCACCAACCAAGTAGGTCCTTGTCAATAAGATCTAAAGACCACATTATAGCAAGGGCCTCCACACAGCAGAAAACTGAAATAGGAAAAACGATACCTCAAAAAGATGATTGAAGTCTACAACCCATTGCAATCTTTCATTTGGAATTCAGAAAATGGAAAAATCAAAGCATGCTTACTAAACAATGCATTAATTGACTAGAACTGTGTTTTAATATATAAATTTCTTGAGTGAATAGTAAATACAATACAATGTATCAAATATTAACGTTGCTAAAACAAAATATCAAATTCTGGGATTAAGCCTGCTAAAGAGGTTGTTGTTGCGGTAAAGTAGCAAGTAAAAGTAAGTATTTTTAGTTTTGTTTTATCGTTTCCATGGAGATTAGTGCAAGGAAAAGAATGTTGTTCAACATTATCTACGTTTCTGAGCTTGATTTTGAATGGTTAAAGAAAACATATGAACAAAAAAATAAATTCATTCATTAGAAAGGACAAACATATCAGACATGAATGTAATGTACTCGTCACAAACTTAAACCTATTGATCAGTTGTACTAAAGCTAAATCACTCATCAATATCATCACATATTGCTCACAACAGAGGTTATGTCTAACACGAAGTTGAAAGAACAACTGTATTGTCTCGGGTGATGTCTCACGCAACTCGACGATACAAAGGCATTATAAATCGATACTCACAGTGAATATTAACTCTAAATCTATTACTAGAGTTTACAAACTAATAGATATTCATCCTTAATCATAATTTGTGAGGTATATGTCTATAACAACACAAATCCAAACATAAAGCAAAATGATCGAGGAAGACATCAAGATTGATTTGTAAAGCAAGCTCTTTACAACACCATGATCAATAAATATACATAGATTCAGAGTAAGCTTACAAAAAAAATCCAACAAATATAGAAATTCATAGAGAAGAATGAAGAAGAACCAAACATCTCATGGGTTGTCAGCTCCGATTGATGAGAAATCTGACTCCGGATCATCTACATGCAAGCTCCGTTGTTGTTTTTTAGCCTTTCTCTACCAAAGAATGAAGGTGATGGAGTTGAGACACAAAACCTCCAAAACCATAACCCTAACAAATAAAGTACAAAATAATATAAAGACAAAAATCCACAGATCGCGCTTAGCCCGCATAGAATGCACTAAGCGCGGTGTCACTTATTAGACCGAACCACCAAAGCGCGCTAAGCGCCCTCAAACTGCACTTTGCATGCTCAACTCTACCAGGCCAACCTCCAGCGCGCTATGACCGCGCTTAGTCCAACCTATGACGTTATTTTCCTTCCAAAAATGCATCTTGAAGCTTTATTTGATCTTTATTGTTCTGTGCTTCAACCATGCAAAGAATCCTACAAAAATGAGATAAAACTAATCAATCGATACAATATTTACACGAATACACTATTGATCTATTATATACACTAAAGTCGGGGTTTTAACATAAAAACCAAAAGAACAGAG